CCGCCGAACGGGCCAGAAGAACGCCCCCCCCCCCCCCCCCCCCCCCCCCCCCCAGCACCCCCCCGCGCCCCCCCCCCCCCCTGGGGGGGGGGGGGGGGGGGGGGAGGGCATGTAGGCCTCCCCTCTCCCTGGCCCCCCCCTCCCCCCCCCTTCTCCCGGCGACCACAGTGCGTGTGCGCGTGTGTGGGCGCACCCCCCGATGTACCCGCGCCACAGGGTCATTTGGCCAAGGGGCCAGGTGGCGCAGGCGAAGTGCGAATATGCGCCCGCTACGGAACGCCAAGGATAAAGACCAAAAGAAGGAACAATCCCAGCCACATGATGTGCGAGGAGGGGGGAGAGAGGAGAAGCAGGCACAAATGCGGCCGCAGAAAATAGGGGACACCGGCAACGGAGCAAAAAAGAGGTAGGGTCGATCTTTTGGGGGTGTGGAGGGCAAGGGAAGAAAAGGACACACACATGGGGGGGGGGTAGGGGGAGGGAGTAGGGGAAGCAGAGAGGGGACGCGGCCCTAGCGGCTCCCCTGCGCGTACACTGGCGCGCAAGGATGCCCTTGCCCCTGCCAGTCCCGGGGCCACGCGCATTCGGCGGAATATAGGGCCAGCTGGCCCCCGGAGAGGAAAGGAAAGGGCGGATGGAAGGGGAGGGACAGAAAGCCACTTACATGTGGATGGGCTTGTCGTAGGCAGCCATGCAGGCCTCCTTCAGGGCCTCAGAGAGGGTCTGGAGGGGGAGAGAGCGAGCGAGCGAGAAGGGCGGACACGGAGAAGGAAAGTCAGCAGCAGGCATACACAATCAACGAAGGGGGAGGAGGGGGGGACGCGAGCGGCGCGCGCGCGCGCGAGCATCACGAAGGGCAGCAACAGGGGCCGCCCCTGGCGTGCTCTCCTCCCCGCCACATCTCGCAGTTGCGCGAGGGGAGAGAGAGAGAGAGAGAGAGAGAGGGAGGGAGGGACAAAAGGACAGGCGAAGAGGGGAAGGAAAAACGCACCGGGTGAGCGTGGCAGGTGCGGGCAACATCCTCGGAGGAGGCCTGGTACTCGACGGCCAGGACAGCCTCAGCGATGAGCTCGCCGGCGTTGGGGCCGATGATGTGGATACCGAGGATGCGGTCGGTCTTGGCGTCGGCCAGGACCTTGACGTTACCGACGGCATCGTTGTTGGCGCGGGCACGAGAGTTGGCCATGAAGGGGAAGTCACCAACGCGGAAGGCGACGCCCTCAGCCTTGAGCTGCTCCTCGGTCTTGCCGACCTGGGCAACCTCGGGGTGGGTGTAGACCACGGACGGGATGGCCTCGTAGTTGACATGGCCATGCTTGCCGGCGATGTTCTCCACACAGGCAACACCCTCCTCCTCGGCCTTGTGGGCCAGCATCGGACCGTCGATGACATCACCGATGGCGTAAATGCCCGGGACGTTGGTCTGGAACTGGTCGTTGACCTGGACGCGGCCCTTGTCGTCGAGGGCGACGCCGACCTCCTTCAGGCCGAGGCCATCGGTGTAGGGGCGGCGACCGATGGAAACAAGGACGACATCGGCCTCGATCTTGGTCTGAGCGCCGCCGGCCTTGGGCTCGACGATGACGCTCTGGGCACCGGAGGACTGGTCCACGCCGACCACCTTGGTGGAGGTCATGAACTTGATGCCCTGGGAGGTGAGGCTGCGCTGGAAGGACTTGGCAATGGCGCTGTCCATGCCGGCGCCAATGGCGTCGGCGAACTCGACGACGGTGACCTCAGAGCCGAGGCGGCGCCAGACGGAGCCCTTCGGTAGCGCGACCGCGGTCGGGGAGCAAGTGGCCAAGCTGTCAGTCGGAAGTGGAAACGAGGGGGGGGGGTCACAAGAAGGGAAGGATGACGGAGAACGCACAAGCTCGAGACCGATCACACCACCGCCAATGACAACCATCTTCTTGGGGACGGTCTTGAGGGCGAGGGCACCGGTGGAGTCGATGATCTTCTCCTGGTCGACCTGCATGTATATACATATGTACGTATGGATGGGTGGTGCCGTGCAAGAGAGGTGCGGCGGATGACGGGGAAGGACGGAGGGAGGAGGAGTGCAAGGGTGTCAGCGACAAATGGGTACTAGACAGGAGGGGGGGGGGGGACGGGCGGCGGGCCAACGGCCGGGGACAATGCACGCACCTTCAGGCCGGGGAAGGGAGAGGGCTCGGAGCCGGTGGCAATGATGATGTGCTTGGCCTTGATGGCCTCGCTGCCGCCGTCGATCAGGTCGACGTTCAGGCTGGAGGGGGCGGTGATGCGGCCCTTACCCTTGACATAGGTGACCTTGTTCTTCTTGAAGAGCATCTCAATACCGCCAGTCAGGCCGGTGACAACCTTGTCCTTGTTCTTCATCAGGGCGTCGAGGTCGTAGGAGATATCGGAAGCTGTCGGCAGGGGAGGGGGGGAAGGGGGGACAGGGCGAGGCCGTGTGAGAAGAGAGCGTGTGGGCGTGTGTGTGTGCGCGCGCGCGCGCGCGCGCACGGAAGTCGGTGGCAAAGGAAGCCCGAAGAGCAAGGAAAGAATAGTGGAAGGAGCGGCAGCAGCCGCAGCCGCAGCCACAGCGCCGAGGGAGGGGCACGTACCCTTGAGGCCGAGCTTGGGGAAGTCGTTCTTGGCAACGTGGTACATGTGGGTGGTGTTCAGCAGGGACTTGGAGGGGATGCAGCCAACGTTGAGGCAGGTACCGCCGAGCTTGCCGCGAGACTCAATGCACACGGTGTTCAGACCGAGCTGGGCAGCCTTGATGGCGGCGACGTAGCCACCGGGACCACCACCGATGACGGCGACGTCGTACTCCTTGTTGGCCACGGCCGAGTAGAAGCGGGGGGCCACCATGCGGGCGGCGCCCAGGGGGCGAGAGAGGGAGACAATACCGGTGCGAAGCATGGCGAAGGTAAGGGGGGGGGAGGCGAAAAGCGGAGGCGATCGGGCTGCTAGGGGCGGAACGAGGGCTCACACGTTTGGTCCGGGCGCTTCGCGCGGGGGAGGGATGGCCGGGCGGGTGCGCCAAAAAGCCCCCCTCCCCCACACGCGTCCGAGACGCCCCCCGCCGGCCGGGGGGGGGGGGACCGGGTGGTGGACAACGGGGACTCGGTCCCTGGCCATCCCTCCCCCTCCCCCCTACACCCGGGTTGGCCCCACTCGGGGGGCTCCGCGGCCAGAGACTCCTCCGGCGGAGGGACGCGCGGGCACGCTGCGCACGCTTATGCGGCTACCGCATGGGGGGGGGGGGGGGCCGAGGGGGAGGGGTGGCGGAACGTGCGTATCCCGCCAACCGGACGGCACGCCGACACGCGACCGGCCATCCTCGCCAGCGCCGGCGGCACTGTGACGATCGGCCAGCACAGGGCGAGGGGACGGCAGGGCCAAGCACCTGGGGGGGAGGGGGGGTTGTCCTAGGCTCGCACGCTCGACCGGAAGTGGCCCTAGGCAGGGGCCCCCACCGCCCGCGCGCACCCCGGGTCCCGGTGGCCACCGACCAGGCACCGGGGGCATGGTCAGACCCGGCCTCTGCCCCATTAGTCCGACGGCCCGCCGCCTGGCCCTTCTCCCGGGCGATCGCCTGGGGGGGACGCGGGCGACCCCCCTGCGCCCCCGCCCAACTCCGAGGGAACTTACGCGGGTCGCTCGGCCGGCAGACAGGACCACGAACCGGTGAAATGTCACCCCGAACGCATGGCTGGCACACACACATACATACACACATGCATGCAAGACGGGGTACTCCATGCCCCTACACAGGTAAAACGCCCCTTGCACACACTCGCCCCTCGCCGTGATGTGTTTCCCCCGAGTTGCCCCAAAAAGCCCTAGCTCACATAGCCCCCGCCCCCCCCCCCCACACACACACACACACAAAAGAACCGAGAAACATCGCCGGCAGCTATTTAATCCTTTTTTATTCGGCGGCTTTACTTTTCCCTCCCCCCTGGCCCGAAGCGGTCGTGGCAGCAGCTGGGGCCTCTTTTTTTCCGCCGCCTCCCCACGCCCCTCTGCCGTACTTCGTTAGGCCCCTCCCTGGCCTCCGCAAACGGGGCGGAACGTGTGTGCGCGCGCGCGCGCGTAGGACCAGCGACGAGCCGGTGCCCATCGCTTCAGGTTCCACCTCCAGGGTTATTTACTAAACAGCGCACATGCCCACCGACACCCGGGAAGTCACCGCGAGGCCACACGTGTGACAAAAGCACATGACACACCCGATTCGATTGTTATTACCTCGGCTCGGATGCACGCGCCCGGTGTTGGCACTAATACGAAGCCCTTGGTTCCTGCTCGGTGCACAGTCCTTCCCGGACCTGGTCAGCTCTCCAGTGCCGGGGGCGTAGGGGCCGGTGCTGCACATGTGTATGGGACAAGCACGGTGCGTCGTTGCCGGGCACGCCCCGCACGCGCCGGGCCCTCGCCAAAGCGTCGCCAGAGTCGTGTGCGGGATGTGTGTGCATTTTACCTGCCCCGATCTGGTTTGGGGGCTGTATGTGCCCCGTGCTCGCGGAGGGGCGATCTCCCCGGCTGCCCCTCGCCCCTCAATCCATCCCCGTCCGCAGGTTATCCCAGCAGGGGAGAGCCGACGGTCAGTCTTCATCAGGAGGCAGAACCTTCTCTCCCAGCTCCCCTGCTGGGGGATCATGCTCCCACCCTGCCCCCCCCCCCTTTCTCCCCCCACGTCTCGGCCCTCTTTCGCCTGCACTCCGCCTTGCCTTGCCATCATGGCCTCCTCCCGGGCGGTCACCCCCATGCGGGCATCGACGCCACGGACCCCGGTCTCCCCGCCGCAACTCCTACAGCAACTCGAGGGTGCGCTCCCCTCCTCCCCTTCCCGACTTTCCCACTCTCCTCGCACCATCACTGGCCCCTCGCTCGACTGTTTTCTCCTCCCGCTCCCTCTCCCTATCTCTAACACACACACACACACTCTCTCTCTCTCTCTCTCTCTCTCTCTCGCCATCCCCGCTGTTCCACAGGCATCGCCGATCTGATCCACTCGCTACCAG